CTACTGAAATAACCATGAACATCTTTTTGTCACCTGACATTGAGCAACTGAAATAAGACGCAGTGTGTAAGACTGTGAAGGCTCTCGCCCTTGTGAAGCCCAGTGATACATCTTTACTAGCAAGCATTACTAGGGACATGAGTTGCAGATTTTATTAATTCAATCACTAATATTACTATCAGCAATTGACGTTGCCAAATAAATTCAATGGGTAAATTATTAGAAGTACAGATACTCATTTGTCCTCCTCCAGTTGATATCTAGAATGACTTTAAGAATCATTTGCTTAAAAAAATTGGATCCTAAAATGAAACAGTTTTACTTTATATACAAGTATTTGGTGCCTCTTTAATAGTATTATATCTTAGAATAAATATAAATCCCATGTAGCTTCTGCTTAATCTTTGTTATCAGTGCATTAGCCAAGGCCCTTGCTTAGAAAAATCACTTAGGAGTTCTACTAATCAGTTCTCTCTTCTTGGCCTTGGCCTTTGTGTTTCATTCTCTCTGTTGGCAAATAATTTCCAGCACTCATTTTCCCTCATAGATATTTTTTGTCAATTTATATTTCAAAGTCCTTCTTATAGTAACTAGAACTTGACTCATTTTCTTTGTTCTCAGCTGTAATCAGAAAAGTTCAATCATTTGAGACCTAATGCAAATCCTTTTCATTTCTTCATATCATTACCTCTTATAAATTTGAGTTGATGCAAAAGCATATATTCTATAAAGAACTCTTCATCACTTAGAACTCATAGAGGTTGATATCATACCCAATCTATTTGCAATGTTTGACTACATCTGTGTATTCACCAGTGTAGAGTAACAAGCAAAAGATTATGAACCAAATTGATTTTATGTTGTTGAATTTCATACAGTTTTGTTCAAAAAGTAGGGAGGTGCACAAAACACTATGCCATATGGTGGTGAGGAACAAATGTTTCCATCTGCAAAAATCATGTTTGATGAAATTTCTTTCCAATTAGTCATCTTTTAGGCTAATCATGAAAGTCATGTTGTCCCCTAATGCTGAAGTGAATGTGTTAGTACAGGGCAAAGGGTCATGACTTGAAAACTGAAGTCCCCGAGTTCTCATCTCAATACACCCTAAGTAGGAAACTTATCTCCTGTATGATTTCAATGCTCTGAAGTTACTGTCCCAATGGTTGATGAATTCTTTCATATTTCAAATGCAAAGCTTTTCTCATGTTCCAGGTAATATGAGGTATTTCTCCCCTAACTAAACACTATTCATTTTCTCTCTTGTAGTCAGAAGTACCCATCATGATGCTCTGATACATGACTAAACTGTTAAATATCATTGGGATAGCATACATCCTCAATTGTTACACAAATGTTTGCCAAACGCAGCTGGAAACATTCTTCCACTTAAGAATGAAATAAAATGGATCTGACCCCCTTCTTTCTATATTTTGAAAGGCAGATATTCCCTTTCCACTGTATTATTCTGTGGAGCTTACATTTTAATATTTGTTTCTGATTCTGACCTCTTATGTTGTATTCTTCCAGTTCAGAAACAGTCTTTCCATCTCATATATACCACAACTCACCCATGAGAATAAAGTTTACTGTTTTTGCTAACTTTTTAAAGTAAAATGTTAGGGAAGACTTTACTAAAGTTTTAAAAAGATGAAAGAATTTATAGTTAAGTAGTATCTGCTGCCAAAATAAATCCGTGTCATTTTATAGTCACACACCTCTAATGGACAAAGCACTCAATGATGAGCCATGTTGCGGGGCTCCAGCGCTTGGGGTAGACTCCCAATTTACCATTTCTGTGAATCATTGTGTGCCCTTGCGAAAGTGTCTTCACGTAGCTGAGCTTCAGTTTCTTCATGAGTAAAATGAAAAGAACAATTACTTCAGAAAGTTTTTCCACAGGGGATTATACACACCCATTCCTATAAATTGCTGAGAGTAATCTAAGAAGTTCCCAGTAAGTCTTGCTCGTCAATTATTTAAAAAATGTTTAGAGGCTTTCAACGGTTTCCACCAAACTCAGGCTTGTATGGTTTAGCTCTCATTCCTTCCTTTCTTTTCAGAATTCTGACCCACTTCCCTGTGAACCTCCTATTGTATTTTTTATTATCTTGTTGAGTATACAGCAGTTTCCCTATTATCTTTATGGTTTTATCTATACTCACCAACAGCCTTTGGAGGTATAGTTCCAAGTGGCTACCAAGGCATCTTCCATAACTAGGACACATTTCCCCCCCCCAAAAGGAAGTCTAGAAGCCATGGACATATGAATCTATTTTTGCTATAGGTACAGAGATATGTATGTATGTATTAGTGGGTGTTCAATATTATAAGGTATATTTAACCCAACTTGACTGCACACTTTTGAGGGCAGCATTGTCCTGTATTAATCACACTTAATTAGGAGAGGCTGACTTTTAACTCAAGATTACTTCCTAAGGTAAGTGCAGGACAGGAATTCCAAAAACAGCTCTGTGTCTGCCTCCAAAGTCCTAGCATCTTCTATATCTGTCAAATAGTTCTGTGATCACATTTGGTCCTAAAAAAAAAAAAATCCCAGGAAGTTAGCACTTCTGCTATTTATTTACTTATTTAGTTAGTTAGTTATTTTTCAATTAAAAAAACCAAGGCTTAGAAGATTGAGTTACCAGGCCCAGTGCTGAGGCCTAGTGGCTAAAAGTCCTCACACTGAACGCACCGCAATCCCATATGGGTGCTGGTTCTAATCCCGGCAGTCCAACTTTCCATCCAGCTCCCTGTGTTTGTGGCCTAGGAAAGCAGCCAATGACAGCCCAAAGCCTTGGAACACTGTACCTGCGTGGGAGACCTGGAAGGGCTCCTGGCTTCTGGCTTTGGATCTGTGCAGCACAGGTCATTGAAGTCACTTGGGGATTGAATCATCAGATCAAAGATATTTCTCTCTGTCTTTCATTCTCTCTCTATATATATCTGACTTTGCAATAAAAATAAATAAATCTTAAAAAAAAATAACAGATTGAGTTACCCAAGACCACACAGTAAGGTCAGAGGCAGGATCAAACAACCTTGTGATTCAGGGATCTACTTTTAAACAACTCGGTTTATTAATTCCCACCCCCACAATAAGGTCAGATGGAGAGCTGCAGATCCAAGTTAAAGGAATAAGATGATATGCTCTAATACAAATCCCCTAGAGCCACAGTAAAAAGAAAAACAATTCCCCAATAGGATTCTGCAGTATCCCATGGGGATGCTAACAGACCAGCCAAACCTGGTTCAGGGACTAAAAAGGCACAAAGTGTGTGCTTCCTAGCATTAGCCTTCTTGTGATGTTACATCTGATGAGGACGACTACTTTTGAGGGTAAACTATCAAGAACTCTTCCCTAAGATATTGCTAATATCAGGAGAACCCGGAGAATAAGACAGGCAGGCTTTTGAGAAAAATCACGGATGGAGAGGAAGCTTGCACGGAAAGAGAAAAAGATTCAAAAATAGTGTGTGTTTGTGTGCAGGTTGTATGTCTGTGTGTGTTGGGGGGGGTAGTTGTTTTCCTTAAACTTTGCCCTTCTCCAAGCCCCAACCCTCAAATTTGGCTGCTCAAGGGATGCCTTTGATGAACGCCCAGGACATGACTGATACTTGTTGCCATTTCCCCCTGGTGACGCTGGGATGCACAAAAGGCTATTTAAAAGTTATAAGGAACCAAGATTGCGCTGTAGTTTGGGGATGAGAGCTGTGACTGAGCATCTCTGATTTAGAAGCACTTACAGTTCCCATAGCTCCACCTGGGTGTTCTGGAGGAAAGTCTTCAAGCTCTGCCCCTGATCTGAAAGCGGCACAGCTTCCCCTAAATTCAGCCTGGGAGGTGGTTCAATCTCCAGAAATTGCCTGAGCAGCCTGTCCATCTGTTGGGCGCCTCAGTTTCTGGAACGCGCCAAGAGGAGTTTGCCTTTTAAACTGAATAACTTGAAGATTTTCTGTTTGTAACTTAAAAAAAAAAAAAATCACCACTTAATTCGAACTAACAGCGGCACAGGCTTCTGGCTTTTGTAGACACTGAGATCCGTGACGGAGTACGGTCTGCAAATTCCTGATTTAATTCCCCCGGAGGGGGGTTGGGGCGTGCAAAGCCACGCTGTTCTTAGTCAGAGGTTGGTGTAGACTGCAGTGGGCTGCCTGATGCACACGAGCCGGTGTCAAGGCTAAGAAAGGCGGAGATGTTCTGCAAGCTACCTCGCCCCAGTGCAGAACCTGGGTTGCCCTGTGAACTCCCAGGAGTTTCCCTTTTACCACAGCTTCACTCCCTTTCCCGGCCCTGGACCCAAAGTGCTTCCCAGTGCCCTGCCCCACAGGACTCTCACAGGAGAGGGAGGCGGGCGCCAGCGCGGAGGGGAAAAGTCCTGCAGAAGTGAGGCAGTGGCTCGGCCGTCGGGGGCAAGAAAAGAGCAGTCTGGTTGTTTGCAGGCCGGCGAGGCTGCGTGGGCGGAGGAGACGGGCCGTGTGGTGACGGCGCGGGTAACGCCGCGGGAAGCGTCGGTTCCTGAGACCCCACCCGTGAGCGCGCGCGCGCGCGGCTCGGCGCCTGCCGATTGGCGGGCGTGGCAGGGGGCGGAGCGTCGCGGGCGGGAAGCTCCGCCCTCCGGAGCGCTGAGCTGAGGGCGCGCGCTCCTGCCGCGGCTCCAGTCCCGGAGCTGGCAGCATCTCCCACTCGGTCCTGCAGCGCCTCTAGGCTGCGGGTCGGCGCTCCAACCACCTGCTCCGGGCTGCGCCGGGGGTGGGAAGCGGAGAGCGAGGACTAGAGAGACTGAGAGAGAGGAGGGAGGGGCGGGGGAGGCGGAGAGAGGCCGCTTAGTACACGCCTCCCGGTCCCTCCACTCAGAGCAGCCCGGAGACCGCTGCTGCTGCTGCCGCTTGCCCTGCTGCCGCCGCCGCTGCCACCTGAGGAGACCCGCAGGCCCCCAGCGCCGGGCACCCCCGGCCGTTCCCGAGCCCCGGGCTTCCTCCGCACACCGTAACTATCAGTATTACTCTCGGTGCAACAGAAGGAAACTGCAAGAAGGTTCAGCCGAAGCGAGCCAGGGACACTCTTCCCAATTACTTCTGGTGTCTGCAAAGAGAGGTCGCCGGCCCAAGGAGGCGAGGCCGAAAGGACCTAGAGTGGTGACGGACAGGGAGGAGGAGTCGGGGGTCCCCCCCCCCCCCGTGAGGTGGAAAGTTGCGGACTGGCCAAAGCCTAAGGTGCAAGCGCCACAGCCCAGGGGACGGTGTGTCTGGGAGAAGACGCTGCCCCTTGCGTCGGGACCCGGAGCGCGCGGGCACCGCGGGGCGCGCGGGCCGACGCCCCCTGCTGCGGCGTGGACTCTGGCAGTGACCCCCCTCCTGCACCCCGATTAGGAGGAGGAATATGGCATCAAAGGCTGCCCCCTCGTGCCGTCTGATCGTCTGCCTCCTGACCGCCGCCGCCGTCCTCAGGCCAGGTGAGCAAGGGGCCTTGGGGCAGCGCCAACCGACGTGGCCCGCGGCCGGGCGATCGCCGGACTGTGCCACCCAGGCGCGAGTGGGGGCGGGCAGGCTCACGGACTCCGGGCCGGTGGGGAGCCAGCCCCGGGGCTCAGTCCCCCAGGGTCACACCTTTGGACTCGGCTGGGCGCCTCAAGTTTGAGCAAGGAGAGGCCTGGAAACATCTCCAGGAACTTTGGGCGCGCCGGGGGTGCGGGCTGCAGGAACCTTGGGCAGGCTTGTCCGGCGCTCCCCTCGCTCCTGTCCCCGCGACTCTGGGCAGGCGGCGGGCTCTCGCCCTCCGACGATTTCTGGGATCTCCGGGCTACAAAGTCCACGCGGCCGCGTCCCGGGCAGTTTTCCTTTCGTTTAGCTGTTGGATGAAATAACTACCCTCACTTTTTTCGTATAATTCCCCTAGTGACTTCCCCCTTGGTTTGGGATGAGGAAGGACTGGTTCTGTTGTCTGGGTGGGAGGTGAGCGCGTGGAGGAGGCGGTCAGCACCCACGCAGGCTGAACTGGAATGAACAGCCGGCCCTGTGGTTTTGTGAGACCTTGCCCCGTTGCCTTGTGGCTTTCCAGGACCTACGCTAGAGCTTCGATTCTCAGTTCCGCGCTGGGCTTTAGCAAGGACGAAAAAAAAAAGACAAAATTCCCAGCAACTAAAATATCTGTCGGGGAATCCCTTTCCTCCGCGTCGGGGGCGTCCCCTGGCCCTAGCTTCTTTGGCCCCCGCCAGGCGCAGACACGAGATGGCCCGAACCCTGCCGCCCGCGCGCCTGGTCACTTGACAGAGCGGCAGGTTCCTTTCCTCGCTTCATTAAAGGGTTTGGCCGAAGTTTTGGTTTCACTGCCTTCCTAGGTCCTGGCTAAACTACTTCTATTACTTGAGCTTCTGTTTGCCCTTATCCTTTCCCTCCCCATCCCTCTAACTCCCTTCCTTTAGAGCAAAGCAAAATCTCACTTCCTTTTCGCATCTTTGATTCCTGCGCAAAAGCTTCGGAACCTCCGTTGGGAAAGGAGTGGGGGTGAGGTTGGGGTGTAGAGCCTGAAGGAGAGATCACGGGTGTGTGTGACCTGCAGCGGCTGTTGCTGCTGGTGTGTGTGTGTGTGTGTGTGTGTGTGTGTGTGTGTGTGTGTGTGTGTGTGTTGGGCGGGGCGGCGGAGGGGGGGGATATGCCCTGGCCAGATCCTGTATTAAAGTTACATTTTCTGGGGTGAGGTAATGAGCTCACCTGCTGTTTCTGAGGCTGAGCAAGACTTGTCTGTGACAAATCTCTGACTCTGGGGCGGGGACTATGAAAGCAGAGTTGAACCGGATTTAAAGCAGATGGGGAAGAGGTCAGACATCGTACAGATTTCACTTTCTAAAGGCTGAGGGAAAAGGAAGGGCACTCCTGAGCACAGGGCAGAGTCTAGAAGGCACGACAAGGGTGCTGTACTTAGCAAAATGCCAAGATCCGCAGCTCCGGGTTGGTTTTTCAGTTAACCCCCTGGAGACTGAGGCTGTAATCTCACCTCCACCTCAGCCCCTGGCACAGGCACGCGCCGTCTGTGTCGTTTTACCTGCGGTCGCGCTGTAATTTATTTTCCGTTGGGTCAGGTCGAAGGACTGGGTTTTCCGTTTATTCGAAATTGCTACAGGAGGAGAGGTTCTGCATTTTAACCTTCCTTTGCGGGATTCTTTGGCATCGCAGGCTGGCGCGTCCAGCCAGCGCTGAGCCGCGCGCTTTCTGCTAGCTGAAGCGCTCTTACCCCTCCATCAGCCAACGCCTATCCTGGAGTGGTTGCCGCAGACCCTCGTGTCGTGGTTTGCCTGAATTATCACTCGGGCACGGCGTGATGTTCTCGCTGCAGGGACAGCATGTTGTGGAAACATCAAGGCACCAAAGGCGCCCTGTCTCCGCCAGCAGAGCGAGTCCTGAATGGCAGGTGTACCTCCTTCTGAGCTCCTGGTGGAGAGAATGGTGGGGCTGCATTGTCAATACCTAGCTCCCTGCTAGGGAATAACCAGGCAGTCTGCTGCTGCCCTGCTTTCCCAAGCAGTTTCAGAAGTGAGTGCCCAATACTGGAACACAGAACTGAGTTTGTTGAACTATACCTGCAGTTCTTTCGGCCTCTGATCGCTGTGTCGTCAGGTATGCCTTCGGCATGCAATGTTACCTTTTCGGAACCAGGAACACTGAGTTTAGAGATAAAGATGACGAAGTGTGTGCTCAGCATCTGAGGTAGCAAGAATCTCATTATTCTTGTAGAAAGAGCGTCAGCCTGTGGTGACATTTTGTATTGCTTTAAAAAGGTTTTCCTTGATTATTTACAACAAGGAGGCGGGACGCTGAAGTTAACCCTTCATTCACTTGGATCATCTGTTCGTGCCTGTTTCTGGGTTTTTTCACAAATGCTCCGCCCTATAAAATTCATTCCAAGGCACAAGCCCATAAAAAGCCCTTTTTTAGGGGATAATGTTTGAAGCATACCAGTTTATCTCAAATAAACCGTGGGGGAAAAGCCATCAATTCATAATACTGTCCTTTCAGTATACTTATGTGGGAATTAAACATTAACTTAAGAGCCTCAGCTTGCTCAGGAATCAACACATATTGTTTTCTCCCACAATCATTTATTTAATTCAAAAACAGTTTGCAATTTCACGGGGGTGTTGTCCTCAGTAAATTGCATTTTTAGGCTTGGCTCAGAAGCATCTGCCTTCAGCCACTTGAACAAGTTGTCATCCCTCTTTGGATGTCAGCTTCCTTTTTTCATAAAATAAAATGGTGGGCAAAGGGTCTGCTGTCTTTCAACCAAAAAAACAATGGGGGGGGGCTTTTTAATCAGGTAAAATCATTTTCCAGTAGCATTTTTATATTTGTTTAATCTGAACAAAACATATAAATTATATGGCACCAAAATATCAGTAGACTGCAGTTTTCTACCTCAGTCCCCTGTTTTTGTGTTTTTTTAAATTTTATGCTTTCACTGTAATATCTTATGCTTCCTGTTCTAGGCCTGAATAGGACTATTTACAAAACAAACAATAAAACATTTGATGAATAGGAATTAATCTTGCACTATCCTGAGAAAGGAGATGCCAGAAGTAGGAAATACTTAGGTGTTAGAACATCCTGTTGGTGTAACACACAACTTGCCTGCCTTCTTCTAAGCTGAATAAATGGTTTCTAGAATGAGATGGTGATTGATGCCAGCAAATTTACAGGACAAAGCCTCATATGCAGACCCTGAAGCTGCTGCTTAACAGACACTGTTTTGTACCATGGTTAGAATGCTATAATGAAGGAAGTCAAAACCACAAATACTTCCCTGTTGTTTAAAACCCTGTGAACATCCAACATATCTTACATTATCAAATTCCATTTTTTCTGAACTTTTAGAAAATTCAAACTAGCTTACCTTTCATAAAAGAAATTCTGGATCGGAATCCAGTCTACTGTTTGCTATTAATAAGAAGAAAATCAGTGAAAACTTGAGCTGTGGTATCAGAGAACTCTTTACACTGGCATCAGTACCTCTATGTTGACTTTTAACTGCCATTTAAGAATGTTGTGACAAAGAGTTTTGTCTCTGTTCATTTTTACTTCACATCGCCAGAATTTTCTGTCTGTATAGTGTGGTTCTGACCATGGCGTGATTAGTAACTCCTCAGCATTTTGTTTTTCTTTTTCAAGTACAGCATACTGTACTAATTAAGACTTTTATTATGTAGTTATTAGAATAACAGCCTTTAATTAATTTCACTTAATTATCACTTTGACTATTTTATTAAAAGCAGGTGAAAATATCTCTTTCTCTGTCAAGTTTTATACCACTAAACAGGTACACTATGCATAAGTTGTCAATGGTACTTGTGTAAGATGGCATCGTTTTGCCAGAGAGTATTTGGAATGCTTTGTGATCACCACGTCTTGTATTCCTAGACACATCTTGTTCTGTACTGGTCATTTATTTAGCATTAAACATCATCAAAGAGTTCTAACTCCCTGAAGCTATTCACTGAAGTAGAAATATGAGATTTGTATCCTCAACATGCAGAGGAGCCACGTAGTTGTAGCTGTGATAAGAATACCTCCATGCCCCGTGAGTGTACTGAAACTTAAGCAGGAATTTCAAGTGTTCATTGTATTTTTGTTGTTGTTATAAAACTTGCACAAAGCCCCAGCTCATTTCCTACACCTGAATGTATGTCACATTTGAAGAATGAATGACCTCACTAGAAAACTAAAGATTGTTTTCTTGGGAATAGTGAGTGATAAAATAATATTTATTTTATTGTGATGTTTTGATTTCAGCTTATGTTATTTTCAAGAAGAAATGAAGAAGACCAGGAAAAAACCTGTTCATTTATGCTTCTCTTTACCTTCTTTATAATGCAGATTCTTTCCTTCCCTAAGGAGAACAAAATCAAGCCTGAAATGCATGCTCTTCTTAAGACAAGGTTTTCATAGGTATTTCGTAATGCTAAACCCTACAGTTTTTGTAGTATCCTTTCAGTATTCAAAGCACTATTGTATTTTTGCAGTTAACAATATTTTTATTCAGCCAATTTTTGTGTTTAAATATCAAAGTCTATATTCACCCCCTCCACATTATTGGATGGGAAACTTATTTATTTCAGATAGGACTACTTCCAAATGTGCTGTGGGAGTCCGTAATTGTTTTATGGTAACCTATTATCATAGCCCATTATTGGAGTGTATGTTTCAAGAATGAAATTAGCTTTTAGTGCTTGCTCTCTTATTTATCCAGTCACTTCTCAATTACCCATTCAATTGGAGGGGAAATCAAAGCTGTGTACTATCCAAAACAGCCTCTAATCAAAGGATTACTTAATTTGACTTTGAGTTGAGGTACTTCAGTGAACATGCCCGTGTCAGGTCTACATAAGCTAATTCCCCAAAGGGATAAATCATCTATTCTCTGTGACATAAGACATCCTTCATGCAAAATAAAAAGCAAATATGT